GAATAAGAGCTGATAATACTGACCTAGAATAGAAAGTTGACGTCATTCTGAAACAATAGTATTACATCATTAGGTTAAGTAAAAAACCTTTTCCATTGAGGCCATTAAAAATAAAAAACAAAATATAAACAAAATGCAAGACAAAGCACTAAGATGACAACCAGATTAAGGCAGTGCAAGTCAAAAATGCCATTCACTTCCTTCTGATCTTCGAAGCTTCTCAATGACTTTTTCATCTCAGACCAGTTATTTAATATGCTAATAGCACAGGCCAACACAGTTTCCAAACACACACACAGCTCAAAACGACTCCTTTGATGAAGTAACCAGAACAGGAACACGATGCAGTCTGCTGGTGAAACCTCCCTCCCGTGTTGTGCAGTGAGATCCAGGCTCCCAGCCTGGCTGCAGCAGGAGGGCAGGAGCTGGGAGAACTCCTGCCTCCGCATGAGCGCTGCTGGACACTGGTTGCTGCTTCCAGAGGCTACTTTCCTCCTGCGCTTGCTTGTAGACACCAGATGCAAAGCTGCATGTGCTAAGAGAAACCAAACCCAGACTGGACAGTGATTTGTGCCCTTCTGGAGAAGTAGCTGGAGGCCAGAGGAGCTATCCCACATTGCCAAGAGTCACGGAAGACTTAACTAGAGGCAGCTTAGTTCTACCTTGCTTTCTTAATACAAGGACTACTGTCCTTTAGCTCCAGTGCCTGTTCTCCTTCCCTCCATGCAGTCTAGCTCTGAAGCTGTTTTCCTGCTTTCCTTGCACACCTGCATCTCAAAAAGCCAATTTGGTCTGACCTGCATCTTAAACATTTAAGCGCCAGTGTGACTACAGCCTAGTTTGCATGTCAACTGTTCCTGTCTGCAGGAATTTAAGTTAAAAAGAAGCTGTCTATGAAGACACTTCATTTGCCTCTTTTACATAGTTGACTTCCCCAGCATTTCCACGACATATCAAGTACGAATTGACAGATTAAAAAAAACAAGTGTGTCGTAGGGCTCTCAGGCACAGCCGTCCTGCTGTTCGCTCCTGTCAGCGTTGCTCCCTAACGGCCTCCTGCCAAACACTGCTCCTGGCTTGTGAGGGTCTCTGGGGCACGTTGTGAACAGCTGTCCTTCCTGTGACCGCCAGCCCCACCAAGTCCCACCGAGGTGACGCTCGTCCCCACAGCTTCCAGACTCCTTTAAGAATCCTTCCCTCCTTCAAACTTCTCTGCTTCACCAAACCGGCTTCCAATAGCACAGCCCTTCTGTCCAGCATCCTCTCCTGCTTTCAAATTTTCCCCCTCTAATGAGTTCGCCAATTTTAAGACCATCAGTGCCTTTGATCTGCACCTCTACAGCAAACAACTTTTCCCAACTACGGAGAAAGGCTGGAAAAACAAAGCTATGGCCTTCAGTACAATAGATGCAGTGATTCTTGCATGTCAGTTTATCAGCCTCAGAACTAGAATCCAGCAAAATTAGCCCCACATAGAAGAGTTACTATGGAAAATTCAGGAAAATTCATCTGTGTGCAGCATAAAGAAAATAAACCTAGAGGAGTATTTTTGATACTCCTCTTTGAGATACTCTTTCATTTATCTCAAAGAATGGCTACAGAAAAGCTCTTAAAGAATCTCATGTCCTTGTGCATCTTTCTTCATTATGGGAGCTACCACCTCAATATTTTACCATTTTTAGCCCTTGTATTATCAGACTTTCCCTAGTTCCACCTGTGTCTTTCAACAGCACAGAGCCAGGTACTGAGGGGCAAATGCAGAACTCCCATTCCTGAAGGCAGTCCTGTGCCTAACGACTCAAGACTCCTGGGGATGACCTGTCCATCAACAGGCCATTGCCACACAGAACTCTTTAGGGCCTGCAGTAACATCTATAGGGGTAACATACACCATCTTTACGTGGGGTAGCTCTTGCTAGGGCAGACCATTGGCAATGGAGGGCTTTCCTTGCCCTACTTGTCCTGCTGGGACCATTTTATTTCTAAAAGAGATTAAGTGTTCAGGGCGCCGTTTCAGAGCTCCCTCCTTATTTATCTAGGGACTTTTTAAAAATGAAGAGAAGAAGTGTTAGATTTGTTTCATGTATTTAACTTGTCCTATCAAAGGAAGCCCTTGTTTCAGGCTGCCTTTCTGGCTGCCTTTGCCTCTTCCTATTCCTGGCACAACAGTGTATTCTCTACCCAGGGACATGAGGATCTGAAGCAATAACTGGCAAGAAATCAGTATCCTTTTTAAAGATTAAAATTGAGACGTGACTATCAAAGAAACTCTGGTATCAGGAAGTGGGAAGAAATATCTCTCTCCCATTTAAAGAAAAAGATGTTTATGAACAACTTAACAGATAAAAGCTTTTCTTTTAAATAAAATCCAAACTAAAGAACTTAATTTTCAAATGAGTCAAGAGGGAAGCAAATCAAATAAGTAAATGCCAAATCCCTAGCATTCAATAAACTCAGCCCAGTCCTGGGCTTATCATATTTGCTCTTGCCTAGTCAGAGCAGTATGGGCCAGTTGAAATTCCACCTCCTAAAAAGATATTCTTTACTCAGAGCCCTTAAATTCATTTTACTGCTGATAAGAACTGCTTCACACCAGTGGACTGTAAAACCTAACTTGGCTTTTAATATTCTTTCTGGATTAAGTGAATTACATCTGATTCTTTCTGATTTTGCTGGTGATAAACAATTATTTTTGTTTGCTTTGATACAGCAGTAGAGATTCTTCACCTTGATCAAGAAATTCAAGGTGAGAAGATGAAGATACAGCAAAAGACTCCAGTGGAGCTCGCTGCCGGTGTAACTAGTGTGGCAGCCACTGCAGAGGCCCCTACAAGCCCTTGGCTAGACTTGCCTAGGGCCTTGAAAGCAGAATCACCCATTGCAGAGACACCTGAACTGACCGCAGGTCATTGGGTTCTCTGCATGTTTTGATTCCCTAAAACAAAACGTTACTTACTAGGCCTCACAGGCACCATATATAAGCTGTGTCTCCTTGAACTGAATGGTTGCAAACTTGCTTTCCATAGTAATTTGTTCTCCAAAATCATGACTTCACAAACTACTTAATCTTCTTCTGTCTTCTGACCAAAAGCTAATTATTTTTTCTTTAGTGTTATAAATGAGGTTTAGCAGTTTCTTCCGATCCCTAAAATTTTGTTTAAAGAAACTGTGATAATAAAACCTGCTTAAAGACTGCTAGAAAGTATGTAAAGCAGTAATTTTAAAAATGAAACACTGAAAAAAATAAAACCTTTTTAAGACCAACAGCAAATAAACAGAGCTCCTTAAATTCCTCTAATCAACCCCAAAAGGCACAGTAGGGGAACACCACACCTTTTTATTTATTCTCTCTCCTACATCACCATCAACAGCCTAAATAAGCTCCCTCACCAATTCTACCTTTAGTCTTTTGAGATCCAAAAGATGTGTAGAATCAAAGTGTCAGCTCTACTCCAGGTCAACAGATTTCACTGATGCCTGAACAAAGAAAAACCTCTGCACCAGCACACCCACATTTCTCTGCTCTTTCAGATATTACAAGCTGCTCCAGTCTCCTCAAAGCCATTCACATTAGACAAACACAGTAAGACTTGTATAAACACAACTGTTTGGTTATTCCAGGAAGTGGGAAACCTTTATAATTCTATAATGTGCTTTATTAAGAAACAGTTCTAAGTGGGCTTTGTTATAGAAAGCTTTAGCTAAAAATATTTTAATAATTCTGTAAAGTTCACTGAAAGATGTATTCTAAAGCACATTAGGCTGTCATCAACTTTTACACCAGATGCTCAAGAGAGAAATTGTGAATAGAACTTGATTATAAAATGCACTAGCTCTCCATGTGCTTAACTTACTGAATAACCTTGCAACTCTTTCCATAGCAGTCTTGGTCATGCACAGGGAACAGATTAACATGCACCTTACAATCCCTAATTGTAACTGAACAAACTGAATTTGTGAAATGAAAGCAACACTTCTGGTTCCAATTCAAGGAATCCCCGTAACTTGTTCTAACTGGGGGGGGGAGGAAAAAAAAAAAGAGGTTGTTCTGTGGCTGATATAATCCCACCATGTGAAAAAGGTCAGACACCAACACAGCCCAGCAGCCAGACACACGGACACACATTGCAGCCTCTTCGGCTGGCACTCGGGTCACTCCAGTAGTCTCACAATCAGAGCTGATCCGCATTATTTTAATGCAACAGTTCATCACCACTCTCTACTTTTATTTCAGTACCTCTCACAAAAAAAGATTCCAGTTCCAGCCACTTCAAGACGGAGTTTTAACTAAAACAAAGCCTTAACATTTCAGGAATCTTTTTTTTGCACTAAAGTAATGGGAAAGCTTGATTTAGCCTAGCAGAGATATTCCAAGCCAACATAAGAAATCCATAGGCACTAATCCCAAATGTATGTACTCACAGAAAATTATCCCACTTAAAACTTCACATCTTGCAAGCACTTGAACACAGACAATTTTGCTCAGGAGGACAAACTCACAGAGCTCAGAGTGACGCATATGAAGGCAACATTAGCACGTAGTTAAGGCTTCACTGAAACTTCAGCTCTTGGATAGTTAAATATTTCTCCAGCAGTGCTCTGATGCCCCCGTTTGAAAGCAAACAGCTCAGACTACATTTTTTGGACCATTTCATGAGTAGTCAACAGATGTGACAAATCATATTTCTTAATAAACTAAACTATAATAAATTAGCGCATTTGTATAGAATTATTTCCTATCCATGTACAGAATAACCTTGTTAACACACTCAGTGACTGCAAATGTAACATATAGTTGCTCTCTACTTAAATGCATCATGCTCAGAGACTAACTGCATACAAGATTCATACAAGTTCAGGCATGGAAAAAAATGCAAAACTGAACAAAGAATTCAGAAGGCTGCTTCTAGGGGAAGTGGAAGACTTGTATATATTCTCTTTAGTGCTTTGTGGAGAAAAATAAATATTGAGAAATAGCAAATTAGATTATTTTCACTCACAATTAGGAGAAAAAGTATGGACCAACAGAAGACATTTCTCACATCCTCCTTCTATTGTGACTGTTCATCACGCAGGGACAGGAGAAAGCCTGGATGAAAAGGAACCACATTAGGTGAAGGTCGCTGTAGCTCTGCGTGTCTCTATGTGTAACCTCACAGTTGCTCATGTGAGCACACAGGAACACAGAGCCAAACGCCTAGCACAGCCTTAGACTGGCATAAACCCATCATGAAGCAGCACAGTAATTTATGTCTATTCTGACTGTTTGCTCCAGCTCTCTTTTAATCTATTATTCTCACTGAAGTCTATGGGTAACTCATCAGGTCTATTCCTTATGCTACCAGACTCCATGCAAGTTAATAAGAGAAAAGGCTAAATAGTCCAGGACGCTCAGAATTACTAAGCAGTTCTGAGAGTCTGTCCCATAGAGATGGTTTTATTAAAGTTCACAGTTTAGAAAGCTGCTCTGCGTTCACGTGTTCTAAAAGGCAACAAGAATCACTAAGAACTGAATATATTTAGAAGTCTGGACCCACTTTTCTTTCCTAATATTATACATTATGAGATCAAGTCATAAGTATATAAATAAAACTCCTCTGGTGAAGATTCTTCAGCCTTTCATCTTGAGCAATCCTTTGTCATACAGGGACCTCTCAGCATGAGAACTGCAGCAGCTCAGGCCCAGGAGGAGTCCCCTTTTGAAATGCAGCCCTTCACACTGAGAAATGACTCACAGGATTTGATTTTATTCTTTAATAATGGATTTTACGAGATACTGCATCTTCCAATCCCACCGGTGTTAACAGCCAAAATTCTAAGGTTACAATTTAGCTCTGGCTCCAGCTCCCACAGAGATAAATGACAACAAGTTTGTGCTGCCTCCAAGGAGGCAGGCTCAGGAGCTCGGTTTTACCTCAGCCTGGATCCTGCAGGTTCGGCACTAAAGTCGGAGGCAATTGGCTTGAACAAAGATTAAGGACCTCAAGATTCAGCCTAATGTGCCCTGCATCTCTCAGTACCTAACAGGATTAGGCCTTATACATTACATGAAGCAGAAAATGAGGCTGAGAGAAAATGAAACATTTCTATTTGACTGATGTTTCAGATCTGAAGAGACCTAGCTTTTCAGAATAATCTAAGTACATTACAATTCATTAAAATGAAGACTATATATTGCAGAACTCTGTTCAACTGCATATTCATCAAACTAAAACTTATTTGCAACCCATACGTCTGTCGCCTCTATCAGGCAAATAACTTTGCAGCTACTGCTATGGCCATGTGAGCTTAAACACAGTAATATGTTTTATCTATTCAGCCCGACGGAAAAGGGTCCGTAAACCTCTTCATTCATAGATTGATGTGCATTGTGAGATGACATGAATAATGAATATCAGGAAGACACCTGCTGCCATCAGGTCTAAGAAACCCAAACTTTAATACAAACAGGTTTAAAATGCTTTTCTGCACTTTTCCATTTTCCCAACATGACAGCTTTGAGAAGGTTCTGCTGAGCAAATGGGTGCTGCTTCCTTTAAAGTTCACTATTTAATTTCCTCTGACATTTGGAAAATTTCCCCTCTATTCTGTTCTTTCTCCTCTTTGTGTTATTTGTTAGGTTCGCCTTTGCCTTTCACGTCAGAAAATAGATGAAATGATTTGTCTCATCACAATAAAAGAACTGCTCACACTGTTTTCCTTTCAGTTCTGGTTATTACTTAACTGCACCCTGGCTGGTTCTTTGTATTGTGCTTTCCATCCTGGGCATTAACTTCTGTTCTGTTTAATTTATTAAATTAAGAGTTGGCAAGCTTGCAATAGCTAATGATTTAGGTGCTTCCTCAGATCAAATTGAGAGGGAATGTTTCAGAGTCCTAAGGGAGACCAAATAAGATGAATATCTCAAAAGCGATTAGAATTTGTTAGGTAGGCAGAAAGAATTGGTTGCAACTTTGAAAAAGTCCTAAAGGGCAGCATTTTTATTCTTCTTTAAAATCTCTTTGAGAAACTTGATCTACCCTAAAGATCTCTTCTGAAAATTACCAAGATAAGAAACAGCAAAATATCACACAATTTCATCACATACCACAATATCACATGTCACTATGACTTGATTGTTTAACTATAGTTGTGTAAACAAGTAACTGATTTCATTGGTGATATATTGAAAGTGCGATTGTCGCAGACAACATGCAAGGAAGGCAGAGTGCACAGGGACTAGTTTTACTAGGAATAAGCTTCTAGCCCACAGGTTGAGAAGCCTGCACTGAATAATCAGTAACAAATATTTATAACAATTTATTTTGCCATTAGCACAAAGCCACAGTCTGCAGCTTTCTTGCAGAAAGCAATCTGGAATTTGAATCTGAAAGGTCTCCCTCATGTTTATTTGCTACATCTTCAGAATCATAAAACTCTCAACTGTTTCTTATTATCAATTAGTCACGTAAGTTAAGTGGTATCAACTCCCTGTAGATCCTTCACATAGCTGGGAATCTCTGGACATTTAAACAGCACCCCTTTCCCCAGATCTGTGGGACTGCAGGGTGACTATTGGCCTAAGCCGCTGCTCTAGGGAACCTTGCACCAGGGTACCAGGGCTGTGAGTGGCTTATCCAACGTGCACAGTAACCGCCGCCAAGGCTGGGATGTGGAGCACAAAGTCTCCGACCATGGCTCACATGTCCCTACAGCAGCACTGACCTTGTCTAGGGGAAAAGCTTCCCGAGCATCGGATTAAGGGGAAAGGAGGAGCAACAAGGTGCATTTAACAAGAACTGCAATTTTGCTGGGCCCATTTTCACCTTGTCATGAATTAAGTTATCATATCAAGTAAATTGGAGCCAATTTAGGGTAAAACAAAAAAGTTAGCAAGCCAACAGAAAAGCATGTTTTGATATCCAAATCTTAAGCAAAAAAGTACAGTTATACTGCAAGTGCCAGAAAACCCTTGCAGTCACTCCAACCAAGCAGCTGTGCTCTACCCCCCAGAACACAGCACAGTTGCCTCGAGAACAAAATACTAATCAGTTTGAGAAACAGTGAAGTCTTTCTGTGCAGTATACCTGGGGATTGTGAACCTGATGGCACTACCAGAAGAAAGAACATAAAAAACAATATGGAGTATTCAAGAGCTAAGCAAAGAAAGGAAAAAATACAGCCAACTCAAACGCACAGAAATACTTGTTGTCACTGTACCACTTTTATCTAGCAATTAAAGGGAAGAAACTCCTCTATCATCCTCTCCTGAATTATTCCAGTTTTGAAAGCCTTTCTGATTACTCCTACAACCATGCCTATGTTCCTTCCATACAGAAGGAATTCCTCCCAAGCTGACTTGTGTTTTCTTTCCTCATAATTAACTGAAGGAAAACACATATGTTGTGATGGTCTAATGCAGCTAGCCCACCAGTAGACGTGACGGGGCAGCAGTCTAGCAGGATTTATCCACTGCAACTCACTCTAAAGGAGAATATAGCCATAGCCCTTCTTTGTCCATCAGCTCTAGAAAGAGCATTAGGAGACTATATATTATTTTTGCCACTGTTTGCTTTGCATTCCAAATAAATACACAGAACTGCATTGCTTTTCAGACCAGACACTTTCTTCCAAGTATATTCACTTTAAGCGAATAGTGCTAGAAGCCAAATCTAACAGCAATATTTATTTGGTTTTGTGACTCGTCTGCTAGATAATGATCAAAATTTTTCACGGTAAATGTGACCAGCCAATGAAGAAAGTTAAATAAAGTTATCGCTGCTAACAAGCAAAATTGGAATAATATATTATGAAACAGAGTCTGCTTTTCAGACCCTTCATTATGGAAGGCATCTAAAAGGTCTTTTGATTAAAGCTTAACAGGAATAGTCATGCATCTTTGTTTAAAAAGCTCACTGAATTTTGTGCATTTAACAGTGTTAGTTCCAGCCAGCTTCTAGAGCCAGATGTAATAAAAGTGTTTTTAGCACTGCAGGGCCTGTGATTTCCAGTCTGTGCAAGGCACGCAGGAGCTCACAGGAGAGCTCAGGCCCTGCCAAACGTAGTCAAAGCTTCAGAACAAGGAGCCTTCCCTTACAAGCTGCTTCATTGAGTATAGAGGTAAATTTATCTATTAAATTTGATCTATTATATGTTTTACTTTGAGGGGCCCAGGGACACTTGTCTGCTTAGTGGCAAGCAGTTTCCTCTGAGTGGTGTCCATATTCTTTATTTGCAAGAGCTGAACAGACTGGCACTTTTCTGCTAATAGCACTGAGGGCAGCCAGATAACAGTCTCTATAGAATTCATATAATTTGGTCTGTAGTCTAGAGATACCTCTTTTCATGGGGATATTTCAAATATTAGGCAGAATGTTCAATGGCAACTTAGGTTGCTAACTCTGGCCTCTACTTTCCTCCTACATCATGTTTTAGATCTAGCCTTATGAATACCAACTAAGTGAGACACATCAGAAAGGCTGAAAATCTCCTTTTTTTCCTCCAGTCCAGAGACATTAGTAGCTGAAATCCCATTACAATAACTGTCTAAACATCGAAGTTAATTTTGTTTGTTTGTTAATCAAAATGGCCATTTGAGAAACAGCAATCATCTTGAACACTCTCCAAAGACTACAGACAAATTATCTTTAAATTTAATGAGTTCTGGGTAAGCCTACAGACATCCTCATTACAATTTATGAAATTGGTATTTCATTTGTTGACCATTAGATTAGTATACCTTTTTAAAAAAATTACTGTGATATCTAGGTTTAATTGATGTATTCATTAAAACTGTATGCCCATAGGTAAAACTATACACCTATAAACTGCAATAAGAAAGCTAAGTAATATCTTCAAACTGTCCTGCTCTTTGAAAACATTACATGTAAAATTATTTATTGCAGTTCTGCAAGAGTGAAAATCAGCTACCAAATGAACTTTGCAGTTTCTACAACATGATTTAATTCTTTTTAGATACTAATGCCCTTATGATTTTTGCCAATTAATAACTATTAAAAAAACAAATCAGTCATGTTTTGCACCTGACTCAACATGTGATTCTCTGCAATCTCA